TCATCCTTTCAGTAGAGGGTTAGCAGCGTTCGCGCTGCGTTACTTGTGTTTTAAGAAAGATGTGTAAAAACCAAGAATTATAAGACTGACAAATATTAAGAAAATATAAAGACGAGTAGCAATGATACCGATACGTTCTTCCTCAGGATCATTTTGCTTGTCCGATGAAAACAAATTAAAATTATGAATCGTTCGATGAACATGAGCAGTTACAGCTATAAGAAAATTAAAAAAAATTCTTCTATGGCTTTAATTGAAGACTCTCCAGCGAAAAAATGTATTTTATTTGATATTAGACTAAATCCTTTTTTGTTTTTTTATATGTCAAACATAAAACCTAACTAATGATCAGTTCAATGTTTTTATTTTTCTACTTTTATCTAATACTAATCAAAGAATATCAATAATTTTTATTGAACATGAATAGTATGGGCAAATAAAAATCAATATTTGAAGAGGAAAGTTATTTTTACATCAAATGATCCAAAATAGTTCATATTTCAGGATTTATTTATTGAATGTGAAATTTTATTGAAAAAAGAAATATCCAAGATATAAGCGAATAAGTACAAAAATACATTCTGTAATCTATTTATTATCGGGAATCTTTAAAAAAAAAAGAATATTTTTAATGGACAATATTTTTCAATGTTATATCCAAAGTTTTTTTTTCTAAGATTTAACGTGTTTAAGATGTGATCTACTGAATTCCTATGATCGATTTCAATAAATGTTCTAATTATTATCTTTTGTAAAGGAAAATACTATTTGCATCAGAGATGAACACAGTTCGGGATCTTTCGGTTTCGATTCGTTTCATTTTTTGAAGAACTCGAACCATGATCATCTCTGATTTGCATGTTTGATAACTAGTTATATATTATTAACCTTTATGAATTGGTTTTGGTGCCATTTTTATAATTTCTAATTCTATACATGTCTTTTCTGTAGTTGTCGATTGTTGACTTTGTTGTTTTTTCCATTTTATTCGTTGCCAGATTATGATAATAGCTGGTGTAATTAATTCCCAAGCAGTAACAAGACCACCGAAAGCATTAAGACTCATAGTAATAATTGTACCAAGATGAAATCAACTTTCATAACTGTAAGATAGAGATTGAGATTTACAAGCAGTGAAATAATTTTCAAAACTAGATTGATTTTTCCAAATTTCAACAAATAAAGAACCATCGAATAGTGAACCTATTGTTGAATTTAAAGAAAAATTTGATAATGATACATTTAAAGCTTTTGGTCGAAAAATTTTTGGTTGAAATGATATTGCATCAACACAAGATTGATTATATAAACATTCAAGAGTTGATTGACGCATAGAATCAAGAGGTATACATCCAGCCATTAATCCAGGAATCTAAATTCATATTATTTTTCTTCATAGATAATCTTTTTTATTTATTTAATTTTATATTTTCATGAGAAAGAAACAATACTCAATATGTATTACATCAATTATTAATATCGATAAGAATCAATTTAAACAAATAATATCATACAATTCTAGACGTCTTTACAAAAATGTCAAGCTCTTTTTTTTTTTGAGAGAATATTTTTTGATTTGCTGATAGCTCAATCTTCTTGCTATCGAATAGTATACAAGTAACTTTTATCAGAGAATGTCACATGATGGATTTTATGTCTCACAGAACAACGAAGTCTACTATAGGACCATGTTTTCATTACATTCTTGACTATGATAAAAACTATTTTATGAATAAGAGATAAAATGTCAAATGAAACCGGAAAGATGAGCACAAAACGAAGGTTTGAATGTGTCCTAATGAAAATACTAGTTCAGAGGGTACTCATCCTAAAATCTAAGTATCTTAGGACAACAATGGAGTACTCACATAGTAAAGTTGAGTTTTTGTACGAGTATTTATAATACAGTTTCTGTGAAATTCTAGTGATTTTCTTGTAAAATATTTCTAAGACTAATCTATTCATTATTGTTGTACTATATCGATCTTATGTAATTAAATTAAAAAAAAATATCAATAATAAATTATCCATGAAAGCAAAATATACGATAACAATAAATTCTTTTATTATAGAATCATTATGACAAAAATCAAACGATTATTTTAAACTGATGATTTGATTTCATTTAGTAATATTGAAAAAAAGAAATTTAATTAACTGTCTTTAGTATGATGATAGAGTCTTCAGAATGTGGACTTCTAATCAATTTAAAGCAAAAGTTATTATTTGTCTTTTTTGTTTCATTCGTTTTCATTATCAATCTAAAAAAAAACAACATTTATCTAACAGGATATTTCATCAGATATATAAGAAATGAAACTTAACAAATTATTGTATCTATATTTGAATTAAATATTCAATCTTATTCAATTACTATAAGAGTTGAAAATGAAAAGCTGTTCTTCTATTCTTTAACTAATCATTCATTAAAGCAGTATGAATCAGTCACTCAAAAGTAATAGAAAAGAAAAATACATAACATAGTCCTTAGAATAGTTCTTTTCCGTTTTTCATTTAATTATATTAGGGTGTGAGTGTCAAGAGAAGATCGATACCCACACCCTACTGTTCTTGACCTGAAAGTCTATCAAAATCTGCATTTGGTTTGTCGAAAATAAGTTCATTTTATGCAGAATTTCTTGCCACGACGATGTTTATGCATTTGAATATGTTTGATTAGTCATCAAAAAACGTATTAAAACGATAAACATTTCTATAACTCTAAGCATTTAAACATAGAAAAAAACATGTTACAAAAATTGCTAATCTTAAGCTGTTTTAACTCGTTTTTGGCGATTTTACGTGTCACCCCGGAAGAAAACAAAATATGACTGAGGAAAGGGCGATGAAGAAATTTGAAACTAATTAAGTCGACTCTGTTATTTTGAAGTCAGACAAGGTCCTTCTGCTGCTTGAAAACCATCGAATATTCGTCGAAATAGACACTAATTGACTATCAAATAAAGCGATAAAAGTAAGTAGTCAAGTCGACAACGAATTTCAAAGCAAAAACAATGGCAGGAGGAAGACCACATTGAGTTACATATTTTATTGAAAAAAAACCTCATGGAGTCATCCCCAGCAACTATAATTCCATAAGACTGAAAAACTCATTATGTGAGACAATATGACTCTATCAAGGAGATATTTGACCATTATTAATAGACAAAATTTTATTGTCTACCATGTTCCTCTATATTCTAGTAAAGGAAGAATTGTGCATTACATGAACCTAATTAACAATTCTAGGTTCATAATTTGACATCACTTTTGACATGTTGGATGTCATTCATATGTGACAATACACTAATAAATCTATAATAAATACCTACATGCTCTACTTTATCAAATTTTACTTTTGCCCTATTTTTACAACACAACAGAAATTCTTCACTTTACTTTTCTGGTAATGTAAAGATAAAATGACACTCCTAATCCCTACTTTAAATACTTTCATTTTTCGTAGTTTTTGAATTATTGCAATTTTCATTTGTTTTATTTGCTTAAAAAGTGAAATTTACAAAAAATGAACTCTATCATGCCCTACATCTTGACATGATCTTTCAAACGAAAAAAAAAAAATTGAAGTATATAGTATGAAGACTGACAGAGAATTTTAGATTTCAAATGAGCTATGGTTAACTCTAGTTTAGTAAATTTCTTCCTGAAATATCATATTATAGAGCTCAAAAGTTTACCACAGTCTCTCTTCTACGATCCCAACATATTCTGAAAATTTCATGTGATTTGCATGTGCCTGGATCAAAATCGATTTTAAGAAATGTTTGAGTGGCCTTAAGTGATCGGATACTTTTTGGAGTACCTGTAAATTCAATTGCACAGTATAACTAATGTCAATATTGATTTATTATTTTTTTATAGAATGTAAATATATTTTCGCTATTTATTCATTAGACTACATTTATGAATTAATTTCCTCTGTGCTCATCTTTCCTCATGTTTATTTTTCATCAAACCATTCTAGTAGAAGTTAAATGGACAAAAAAACATGGACATATCCATAAAATGATCAAAAGAATAAGAGAACAAAGATAAGAATAAAGGATTCACAATTTAATTATTAGAAACACATGATATGACATGAACTAATAATAAACAGGTTATCAATTTGACTCTTCATGATAAATGTGTTCATGTTTGAGGAAAAGTTCATCTAGATGAACTTGATAATCTCTTCAACGAACATCAGAACTTTGTTAGATCACGATCCGTCGGTTGATTCAAATGTACAAATGTGTAGGGTATAAGCTTTTTTCTCAATCTATTACCTAATTGAGAAATATTTTCTACTCTTAGTGCTACACTACCCAAGAATATGTTTGCTGTTTTCCTACTCTAACCTTCAAAGTAGAATAAGTTACCACTACATATCTTTACTTAGGTGTTCTGCAGAACATATTACTTAACTTATAAAATATATTCTAATCATAAGAATGGCATATTTTCAAATAGGAGAGAATGATCATAGCCATTGTAATTCATTTTCAAATCTTTCCAGACAAGTTTTTTTCGATATTCCAACAATCGTGGCTACAACTGAATAGATCCTATTATCCCTGATTATTTTCTATCAAAACAAAAAAAA